CATCTCGTTCCAAATGTTCAATAACATCCCACATTTACCAAATCGAGAAAGCCGTATAAGCAATAGTTTATAAGCACTCAATGAGATTCTACACCCAACTTTTTTAGCTTTCTTGTACACCATCATAGCTGCATGAGGAGGACCATAGCTACACAAAGGTTCAATAAAGGAAGTTACAGTCCCTGTACTGGGGACAACTCCTCTGTCCAACATTTCATCAAACAATTCAAGTGCGTCCGCCACTCTCCGAACTTTCAGAAAAGCACCAATCAATTTGGTGTAAGTATCAATGCTTGGCTCACAAGCACTACTCAACATACTGTTGTAATACTTCACACATTCATCACAATCTCCGACAGCTATATAATTAGAAATCATAGCATTGTAAACACTAGAGTCTGGCACCCAACCATTCTTCTCCTTCATGTCCTCAAAGATTTTAACAGCATCATCAATCCGACCGGCCCTTCCTAAACCCTCGATAAGGTTACTGACAGTTGAACCATCGGGATCGATCCCATCTCCTACCATCATTTCCAAGATCCTCTCCATTTCACCAACTCTACCAAATCTACACCATCCACTCATAACAATATTGTATGTAGCACCATTGAAGGGTATCTTCCCCTTCATTGAATGAAGAAGGGAATTCGCAGCCCCGACATGGGATCGCCTACACAGACATTCGAGAAGCACATTCAAAGACTCGGTATCGCAATCCAAACCGAGTTCGTCTAGGTTCCGAAACGTTCGAATTGCTTTGGAAACTTGCCGAGCCCTAACTAAACTATCCATTACAATTTCTAGGGTCTCTAGGTTGGGATTGACTCCTTCAATCCTCAACTGATGCAAAACTTCTACCATACAATTAAGGAACTTTCTTCTACCTAATGCTTTGAGGATTATATGATAAGTATCAATATCTTTCGAAATCGTGGGCTGTCTAATCGCCCAATTGAAAAACATAACCATTTTCTTGTCATCTAAATTCCCCCGATTCACTACCTTACCAACAACTTCAACATTCAATTCGACGTCAACATCAGTTAAAGCCTGCTCTATTGCAGTTTTACCTCTCAAATTCTGCAGAAACACACCGCGCAATTTCTCCTCCGGCAATAAAAATCCATCCGCCGCTCTGGTGATCTCCACTCGTTTCTCCGAATTTCCCCGTTTATGCAGGTCTGAAGCTGGAGTGCCGCGCAAAACTGGTAACAGATCAGCGAGTTCATCAAGAACAGAGCGCTCGTCAATAACACATTGATTTCTTGTCCGATATTCGTTGTTCGGCGTATCAGATTGCCCATCGAGGCTCGAAAATGGAGATGATAGAATTGGTGAAGGAAGGTAGGGCAAAAGGAACCTGCGTCTGCTGAAACTCATGGACTGAACCGCCGAGAAACGCCGAGAAATGCCAGGAAACGCCATGAAAAATATTTAAAATGCTTTTAGTCTGACAGAGCAAGAGTGAATTGGTGAGAATTTGATGCAAATCGTCCGGTTCAACTCAGTTCCTTTAATTTCCAAGTTCTGCAATCAAAGGCCATTTGCGAGGGAAAATGACATTACGTCAAAGTAACCAAACTGAAATGAGAATATTATGAAGGGTGTTTGCGTGTTTGCCCGTCAAAATATTTGGAATTGGTAATTCCCCTTTACATTTTTAATCTTTCTAAATTATTTAGGGTAATTTGCACGAATGATCCTTAATTTTTTTAAAATGTGACAGTTTAATTTTTTTTTTTTTTAAATTTGTCATTTTTATTTTTTTTTTTTTTAAATTTGTCATTTTTATTTTTTTTTTTTTTAAATTTGTCATTTTTATTTTTTTTTTTTTTAAATTTGTCATTTTTATTTTTTTTTTTTTTTAACGAAACGAACTCTAACCTATTTAAAAATGTGCAATGTCGTCATTTCTGTCAATTGTCGTCCAAAAGATAATGGTGCAGTGCATGTGAGAACCACGTCGCCTATGTTGTTAGGGTATATGTGTAAAATCACATGTTGGGAGAATTGAAGTTGATTTCATCACCTACAAGTTAGGGTTTGTGAATTTTCTTCTTTGATTTGGGGCTGCTGGGCTGAAATTGCTGCAATGGAAGAAAACCCATTGTGTGATTCTGAAGCTGAATTGTGCAATGGAAGATTCTGAAGGTGACGACTTCACATGGCCTTTCAGATTTCTTTTTTTAAGAAACATATAAAAATCACGTGATCACACTTAATCTTCTCTTTTTCTATCTATTTTTAATAGAAATTAAAATATAATTAGTTAAGTGTGAACAATTTAAAATTCAGAAGACAATAAGTTTTTAAAGTTCAATAGACAAACTAAGAATGACAACAGAATTTAGGACACCAGTGAGAATAATCTTTATAAAATTTTAAGAGAAACGCCACCTCATGTATAAAGTGAGCATATGTTTTAAGGAATGATACTGAAATTTTGGGGGGTTTTTTTTTTTATCTCTGTTAGTAGAAGTTGTAGCAAACTTACCGGCATTAATGCTCCTCCGCTGTGCTGAAAACCATTGATCCCGATCTCAAAATTGATTATGAAATATTAATATTTTCATTCATGTTTACGTATGTCGATATTAACTAATATATAGAAAAGGATTTCCTACAATCACTTATAATCACTCTCATTTACAATCACACCCAATATACCCACAATTAAGCCAATCTCACAGCTAATATACAACAAGGTAATCATACTAAGAAAGAAAGTAAAAAATCACAAACGATTCTCTACTAATCTTTTTGAATCTTAACACTCACCCTCAAGATGGTGCTTACATATCACACGTGCCTAACTTGCCTAAAAAAGAGGAGACTACTTTGGTAAGGATGCCGGCTAGCTGATCTTCTGATTTTGTCCTAGGAAACTCCACAATCTTTTCATCTAACTTCTCTTTGATGAAAAATTTGTTCACCTTGACATGCTTTGTACGATCATGTTTTACTAGATTATAAGCAATGTCACATGCTGCTTTATTGTCACAAACAATCAGATTGATTGCCTAGATAGGTAACCCAAATCATGTAAGAGGAGTCTTAGCCACAATGCCTCACAAAGTCCTAATGCCATGCTTCTAAATTCAACTTCTACACTTGAGCGAGCAACAACATTTTGTTTTTTACTTCTCCATATCACAAGATTACCACCTACAAAGGTAAAGTAACCAAAGGTAGATCGCCTATCATCCACAGTACCGACACAATCAGCATCAGTATATACTTTTATACTCTGGTGATCAATATTTTTGGTGAACAAGATTCCCTTCCCAAGAGCACTCTTCGAATACCTCAAAGTGCGCATGACTGCATTCATATGTTGTTCTCCAAGATTATGCATGTATTGACTCACCACACTTAATGCATAAGCAAGATCTGGTCTTGTATGCACTAAGTACATTAATCTCCCTACGAGCCTCAAGTATCTTCCTTTATCAGCAGGTATTTGATTGGGTTCAACACACAATTCTCGACCTTCTTCTATTGGTGTATCAATGGGTTGACATCTTAACATTCCAGTATCCTGTAAAAGATCTAAGGCATACTTTCTTTGAGATAGAAAAATTCATGTGTTTGATCGAGAAACTTCAATCCCAAAAAAGTATTTTAAAGGACCAAGATCTTTCATTTCGAATTCTCTAAACATATAATTTTGTAGAGTTTTGCTTTCTTCAGATCATTTCCTATAACTACCATGTCATCCACATATACGATAAGTGATTTAATCTTACCATGTTGCTTCTTCAAGAACAAAGTGTGATCTGAATTGCTTTGATGGTAGCCAAAATCTCTCATTGATTTTGTGAACCTTCCACACCATGCTCTCGGGGATTGCTTTAACTCGTGTAATGATTTCTTCAATTTGCACACCTTTTGACTCTGCTTTTCTAACACCATGCATCATGGTGGAAGATCCATGTATACTTCTTCAGACAACTCACCATGTAGAAAGGCATTCTTCACATCAAACTGTTGTAACGGCCAATCCAAGCTTGCAACTAAAAACAATAATACTCGAACCGTGTTGATCTTAGCTACAGGTGTAAATATCTTTTTGTAGTCGATCCCATATATTTGAGTGTACCCTTTTACTCTTAGTCTTGCTTTAAAGCGTTCAATACTACCATATGCCTTGTACTTCACGGTATAAATCCAACGACACCCAATTGGCTTCTTTCTTGGTAGACACTCCACGAGTTCCCACGTCTTATTTTTCTGCAATGATTTCATCTCTTCATTCATGGTTGCTTTCCACCTTTGATCAGCTAAGTCTTCCTGCACACTGTTAGGAATATCTATAGTAGATAATTGAATTTCAAATGACTTATTTGATTCAGACAAACGATGGTTAGACACATAGTTACTCATGGGATATCTGACTTTACTAGACAATTCAGGTTCATATGTGGGTTTAGGGATACCTCTCGTGTGACGTTGTGGTAACTATCTTCTGTGTGGCTCGGGAACATCTTCTGCAAGCGATTAGTGTGGTATGTCCGACAGAGAAGGGGCTATATTTTTAAAAAACTTGGTTACAGATTGAGTTGGAGATAAATCCACTTCTTCAGTTATTGGGTGATCATCACCACTTTAGTCCAATGTTATACCACTTAATTCCAATTCACCCATTTACTGATTTTGTCCAGGTTGTGAGTCATCACCACTAGAATCTAATATTATACCACTTATATCCAAGTTGCCCAAATCCTAGTTTCCATTTTCATCATACTCTAGAGTCATAATTTCCTGCTGGTACTCCCCCCTGAAATTTAGGCTCGGAGAAGTACATTGTATCTTCATGGAAAACAACATCCATCGTGATAAACAGTCGTCGTGTTGGAGGATGATAACACCAGTATTCTTTTTTATGCGTGGCATATCCAACAAAAATACATCTCAATGCTTGAGGAGTTAACTTGGTGCGTTGAGGCTTGTAGAGGTGTACAAACACCACACATCCAAAGACACGAGGGGGTAAATCTAGAACATATGGGGAAACAACTGCTTTGGTGAAGGTCTCGAACAATGTTTTGAAATTAATGGTGCTGGAGGGTACCCAATTGATTAAATCGGCTGCATAAGTGAAGGCCTCCCCCCAATAAGGTAATGGCATGTGAGCTGCAATTAACAAGGCCCGGACAACCTCCAACAAGTATTGATTTTTGTGTTCTGCAATCATATTCTGTTCGGGTGTGTTGGAACAAATAGTGTGGAGTATCATTCCTCGTGCTTCTAAATATTGTTAAAAATCAGTACTCTGAGAACTTGAATCTTTGCCTTGTATTGCGTTTCAACTCTTTTATAAAACTTTTGGAATATTGAGTTCACTTCACTTTTGGATTTCATCAAGCACAATCATGTCATCCTAGTATAATCATCAATAAAAGTGACAAACCAACATGACCCATCCAAAGTAGTGACTTTAGATGGACCCCAGACATTAGAACGAATACACATTAAAGAAAGTGGACTTTTATTCAACAATAATAGAAATAAAGCACGATGGCTTTTTGCTAGTTCACAAACATCACACTGGATACTAACTTTTGCTAGTTGTCAAAATTTTCACAAAATTTTTGCAATATTATCCATAATATATTAATTTATACGCAAATAAATTAATCTAATTAATTTATTTACCTAGCAAACTATTAGGTAGATAACTTGAGTTATTTGACCACGAACAATCCTCGCTCCAAGCTTTCTGGAAAAATCCGAATCTTTCTCGTCTATTCCTTGATACCTGCAAGACCTAGAGTGTGGACTCTAATTTAGAATTATAGGATTGATCACTTACTAATTTTTTCTTCCATCAATATTAACACATGTATGAGGTGGAACTGGAAATGGAAGAACTATTCTTCTCTTTTTCTCTCTGGTTTCACTGTTGTCACTAGAATGTTACACGTTGTTAAAAAGAATGTTAAACGCCTGTAACAACTATGTTACACGCTTATCTCATAGTGGAAGGGAGAAAAATTATGTTCTCTAATTTTCTATTGTCTCCTATTGATAAGGCTATTGAGTCTTATAGATTTTAGTCAAAACTATAAATGGGAGTCTTCTAATAACTCATGACTAAGATCGTTCTATATATGACCATCGGTAGACTCAATTAGAATTTCTATACTTAACGAAAATTATTAGAAATTCGTATTGTGTCTTGTCCCGGTCCTACATAATCTCATTATGTAAAATACACTCATTCGATATCCCTCCATATCAAACAAGGCCTAACTCAATTCTAAGCATAAGTAATGCCAACTAATGTTCTAATAGCCTTGCTTAGTGACATATGGCCAAGTCTCAAGACTTCCTTCACTTTGCTTCAAGTGCTCTTGAAGTAATCTAGAAGGTTAGGAACAAGAAAGTTTTTCAAGGAGCAGTGTTCATTTCAATTAGGGCATGTTTAGTGTACCGTATTGTATTGTATTGTATTATATCCTATAATATTGTATCATTTTTATACAATACGGTATTTGGTTGGTGATATTATTAAACATTAAGCAATACAATGTATTCTATTTACGTATTAGTTTGTAATAAAGTAAAATTTAGGCCTAATCATAACTTAATTCAACTCTAATATCAACCTAAACCCAACATTTGGAGGAAATAAGGGAGAAGGTAGAGTTGCTACATAAGGGTCTTTTGTAAAAAAAATTTAAAAATGGATCAAATTATAATTTTCAAAAAATTAAAGGGCAAAAATAAAATTTTTAAAAAGTTGAGGGGTCAAAATATAATTTTAAAAAATTGAGAGGTCAAAACATAATTTTTAAAAAAATTTAAGAGTCAAAATATAATTTTTAAAAAGTTTATGGGTCAAAATAAAAAATATAAATCAAATATTACTCCAGTCTCGAAACTTAACCCTAACATCGTTCTAAAATTCAATTTTGAGCCTTAATATTTATAAAATATTTTAATATAATATTTTAAATTAAATTACATAATACAGTATAGTACATAAATTTTTTTTTTATATTAAATATCACACTTCATATTATATTAATTTTAAATCTCATATTAAATTATAGAATATATAAATATCACCAAATATTATCTTATTATTAAATAATGCAAATACATAGTGCTTATAAACATGTCCTCAAGTTCGATTGCGATAAGCTTAAGCAAGAGTTGGACTTCTCTGAATTCTTATGGATAAGTAGAAGATGCAATTTTGCAAGTCGTAACTTAGCCAAGTGGAGCAGAGCTCCTCTCTTTAGTTTTTTAGTTTTCGTTTTGTTTCTTCTCTTGCTTTTCTCTCTGGTTTCGCTTTTCTTTTCTGCTTTTCTTTTGGTTGTTGTTGTCTAGGCTTGTTTTGCCTTGGCGTCCTGTTTTGGTTGCCTTTGGTGTTTCTGTCTTTGAGGCTTTCTTGGGTTAACAAAGGCTTCGTTCGTTTCGCTGATTCGAATTAAGATGTGATTTTATGTGAGAACTTTTTACTGTAGCAAAAAAGTTAAATGTGACTATTTGTGAGAGCTTTTTACTGTAGCAAAACTCAAATTTTAAACTCGAATCAGCGAAACAAACGAAACAGAAATCAACCTTTAGCAAAAACAAAAAAAAAACAAAAAAACAAAAAACAAAATTATTATTATTATTTTGTTTTTTTTCCCCATCATTTTCCTTGTCATTGTATCAAAATAATTGTCGTTTCATTTTTTTTTCCTTCATTTTCCTTAACATTGTATCGAATGATTGTCGTTTCGATTTTGATATCGTTTGCTTTCTTTGTTACTTTGCCCTTCTCCATCTCTCTTTGCTCAGTTGCCCTATTTGATGTCGTTTGGTCGCTCACCCGCTTTCTTTCTTGTCCTTTATCTTCTATCGTCGTTTTCTAGCATCCGAAAAGAATCCAGTTTGCTAAATCAAAACAAATAAATATATAAATGAATGTAACAAACAAACCAAGTTGTAACACAAAATCCGCAACTTTCATGAATAGTTACTTCGCAAATTTATGAAGCACAAAACTACCTGACCACTACATTACATTTTTCTGCATTCCTTTCAATCCTTTACGAGGTTTACCAGGACTTTCATGAATAGTTACTTCGCAAATTTACAGTTGCTACATTTGCATCACCAAATTTTCTTCTCTAATCAGAATTAATTGGCATTAGTATCGTGGTTTTAATTGTAGTTAAAGCCTGAATGTACTGTAGCCTCCGAGACCGGAAGATCCGTATCCTCCGCCACTGTAGGATCGCGGGGGTAAAGAAGTTGTTGGAGGATAAGAACTGCTCAACTGAGAGTAGTTTGATCTCAATGCAGTGTCTATCCTGCCGTAGCTGCTAGGAACTGGTTCTTTGTGATTGTTTATAACCTCCTGAAAATCCAGAACAAGACATATCAAGCATCCATCAACCTTCTGTTTTCTAAAGCATTTCCATTTTTCAGAACTTTCAAGTCCCCCACTCGCTTGGCCGCTTCAATATTTAAATCATTCAGGTTTCCAACAGATAGAATAATTAAAATACATAGCAGTGTTTTATTCCCTCAGCTTGCTAAATTCATTATTCTGCAGAATTTAATTCCCGTTTGTTTCATAGGTTCAATCACAAGTAAAATCTTTTTGCTACGGTGTTTTTTCTCACATAAATTTAAATTATCCTTCAAATTTTCTGGGCCCAAGTGATTCAAGTGTAAACTACACAAAGATGTTTTAATGATTGATACAGCATATCTTATTCGTATTCAGTATCCAAATTATGGAACTTACCTGAATTAGTTGTTGAGCCAGCTGAACTTGTGATGAGGTTCCTTTGATTTCCACTGTGATTTCATCAGGAAGTCCTCTGCTCTCTTGCACAGTCAAGATGGCCCCACTAGTCCGGCGAATGTATGCAATGTTAGATCCTTCAATCCCAATAATGTCTTCTGCGTAAGAAAGTGGGATTTGCATTGTTTGTGCAATCTGATTGCAATACAGAAATGACGTTACTATAACTTCTGACCAAAAACAGAAGTAACGAACATGGAAACTGGAAAGTAAAATGTCGAAAAGTGAATTCTCTTTGCTTGTATCCCTAATGATTAAACTTCAGATTACGCAATTGAGTAATCGCCTACTATTGAGACAATAAAAGAACATAAATAAATAAATAAAAAGTAATAAATAATAATTGACAGTGAAATCTAATTGCATGTCACTGTTTTTATGTATTTCATCTCAATCTCCAAATTTTCAGACCTCCCTAAGATGATACTTTACGAAGATTATGCATATAATAAATGGCCTCATGCCATTCTGAAGGCATTGTAAACTTGTTCTTCATCCGATTGACAATGATTCTAATTCCATGTAATGAAACTATAATCCTATCATATGTGTCAACCAAGAACTCAAGGAAGAGCAACAGAACTTCCCTATTTCAACTGCCCGGCTGCGTCCAGGGAAGAATACATTGAAAGAAACAGTCACATTGATAAGACATGATATAAATGAGCACCAACCTGAGTAACAATGGGAGCACCAGCACGACCAAATCCTGTAGGACGAATTCCGGGAAGTGATGTATCTTGTCCATACATGGAAATTCCAGATGATGGAAGTTGCGGTTCCAGCTGAGTTTCACGCTCAAGAAAATAGGGTTCCCTCTTTGCTGTGATAGGATAATTTGTTCCAACTCCAGTTTGAGTAGAAGCCTGCAGCATTGACTTGTCTGCCCAGGTATCTACTTGGCGTTCTTGTGAGATCGTCGAATTGTACTAAAAAGTGACGTGATGGGGATTAAAACATCAAAATGAAAAAAACAATATAAATAAAATAAACGCTTTAAAGCAATAGACACCAAGGGAATACAGCTTACACTCTTCTCAAAAAGTGGAATAACACTATGATCAACCAAAAATTTCCTCAGATGACCAATTACTGCTTCTAGAGCTTTCAGAACCTTTAATCCTTCTCCTTGCAACTCAACAATTCTCTCATCTGCAGCTGCGTAGAATGGCACCTCATCTGCCAATACAAGAATTAGAGCAAAAATAGGAAAAAAAAAAAAAAAAAAAAAAAAAAAAACATAATCACTAGTAGAGCAAAAGGAGCCAGCCTTAAAAAAGCTACGTTTCACTAAACAACTAGAAAGAAGTATATACTACTCAAGTCATAAATTGCATCAACCAGCCAAAAATAGAAAGTATAGATAAAAAGGCCAATCTAAGATAGTTGGACTCATTTAACATGTTATAGGATGATAACATAGATGACAAGAGCTTGGTTTCCAACAACAGCTACGCCAAAAGTTTTAAATGGAACTAAACCACATAAGACTTAAAAAAGTGACCCTGTTAGATGAGTAAAAACTCTAGAATATGTTATACATGTATGAGACAGAATGACATGTATAGTTTTAGTTTTTTTTTTTCTTTTGAATTCATGACATATACTATTTTATTGAATAGGAAACAGACATTCTCCTAGGAAACAAAATGACGAAAGCAAATATCACCGCACCTAAACTTGAGCAAAACCAGTGCAAAGTGCTGCCCACTGAAGTTGTCTTATAAGTCATTTATGAACTCTATCATCTCTAGTCAACTATTTCAATCACCAAATTGGCATATTAGCAACCAAAAAACAAAAAAAGAAACACACACAACCACACACACACACACACACACACAAAACAAAACAAATACTAAATGAGAAATAACAATGTTATAGATTTGGGTCATTTGACGTAAGATGACAGTTTGACCATAACTTCTTTATAAGGGCTCTACGATCAACTATGATGCTTTCCAGTCTAAATTGTTATGGGTTATATTCTCGTAAAGAGTCTTGCTTTATTGAGCAAAACAGTTGTTGTAATAGAATGGTAATTTCCCCTTTTGTTGGTTCACCAATTTAATCCAATTCCATGAATTTGAATTGTGAGCCTAGTTCAAATTGTTGTTTGGATGCCAACTTCATTAGTTGTTTGCATGCCAACTTTTTGACACAATCCGTACTGCAGGTCTAATTCAAAACCGTCCATTTTGCCAGTTCAAACTCCCTCAAAGTCCAAAAATCCAACTTGATTTTTACTGTGCAAAACCACACTCAGAATCACACTCTACGTGATGTCCTCACTTTTTGAGGAATGAAATGAGTCCTACTTGTCAAAACTTTTATTTAAAATATGTTAAATATAAATTTCGTTTTTAAATTTCTTAACTTTTTTAAATATGTAAAATTTTTTTAGTTCAATTTTTTCAACTATCTAAACATAGATTCAGATTTACAATTCAACTGCATATCCAAATATTAATAATTTAAAATTTTTTTAGTTCAATTTTTTCAACTATCTAAACATAGATTCAGATTTTATACCATGTTCAAATTTACAATTCAACTACATATCCAAATATCAATTCAGATCGCGATTCTAATCACACAATTCAAAATTTTCAATTCAAATAAAAAAGTTCACCACAAACCATGAGCCAAATGGGGCCTCACTATTTTCATCGATTTGGATGGAAAGGACTGCTAGGATTTTTTAACACAAGGAAATGGAGGTGCTGGATTTGTTTCGTAAGGCAAAGTTCTCAACTTCCTTCTTCTGGGCTTTGACCGATAAAGCTTTTAAGGATTTTCCTTTTTTCTTTGATTATCCTGAACTAGAAAGATGTTATAGGGGGCTATGTGTTTTTTTTTTTTTCCTTTAGGGCGGAGGTTATCATTCTATGGCTTGTTTTTAGCCTCTATTTTTTACATCTCTTTGATTCTCTTCATTTTCAAAAATAAAATAAACTAAGGAAGGATTCCTTTACCTATTTCTACTTGATTTTACCATTAATGAAAGGAAGTTTTTACTATCAGGAAATAAAAAAGGAAATAAAAATGGTTACTATCCCTAATAGCCATTTATCAAAAAGAGAATCATACGCAAGCTGCTCAAGCGTAAGTCAGGATCAGCACAAAACTATGAGGCTACTCGAGCAACTATCTACACGGACTTGAAAGGGGTTATTAAGCCGTGACAAACTAGACATTGTCCAGACGTCAATGTTGCTTATAAAATGTGCAAAGGATGTCATGACAACTAAAAAAAACAAGGAATAGAAGTAGATGGCTGCTTATATATCTTGTTCTGAAGTATAATGTGAACATTTTAAGCATACCTCCTGTCAATACTCGCACAGATGCACCAGTGCTCTCCTGTATGGATTTGATCAATGAACCTTGCTTTCCAATTAAATTTATAGCTTGCGTAGATGCAACCAACAATCGAATCGAACAGAATGCAACTCCGGCAGCCTCATTCTCCGATAATCCTGAGACACGTTTGAATACCCTTATAACAGCATCCATCGCCGGTGAAAGAGCAGCCTCCGGCTCTTCCTTTCCTGAGATCAACACCTATAAGAAATGCAGCGGACACCCAATTTAAGGAAAGATGATACAATTGGAAATTAAAATGCATGATAACAAAACAGGAAGATTTGCCTCCCATGTGTTAGTCCATGTCAGCCAATGAAATCCAAGGGATAACAGATTCCTTTTTATTCCAAGGGGGAGAAAAAAAAACACAGAGCATTCACTAGATTCATTTTTATCCCAAGCCAAAAATAGGGGGAGAAAGAATTTACAGCTTCTTCTAAGAAGCAAATAATACTACTACTGATAATAATAATACTACTAATGATACTACAAATAATACTACTACTACTACTAATAATAATAATCATCATCATCATCATCAAAGCACATTCCCGATACAGTCGGGGTCGGGTCGGCTACACGGAACAACAACAACAATTAAAGCATCCAAAAAGAAAAAAAAAATAGAAATGTAAAAGTAAAACTAAGTCAACTATAAACCCCAAAAGGATGTAGGATAAATTGTAGATTACATCCCTAAATATTCTCCCACACCCAAACTTTTGGCTCTCTCATTGCAGTTGACGCAAGCCTACTTAACTATGCACCTCAGTTTCAAGAGAACCCACTATCCATGTAAACACCCTACGACAACAGATAAGAGGACAGGTCTGCTCTTACGACTAACACAATGAAGTTAAGAGTATCTGAAACAAACAACTGGTCTATTAGGTGCATGAAGACCCCATCATATAAACCCAAATCAGTGCCTATTCAATAAAGCAACTATTTTTAGAAGAAAATAACGAATGTCCTAAAGCTTAAAGGGTAACGAAATTATTGATGACAACACCAATTTACAAAATAAAACAGAAACTTATTCTGTTAATGTAATACAAATTTTAAAATTTTACTAAAAACAAAAACAAATGTTGAGCACAAAAGCTCAAGTAGAAGAAGACGAATACTATTTAAAAAAACCTATAGATTTATTGCAGGATAAAAAATGCTATAATGAAGTAGTTTTCATCTTAGCCATAATGCTAAAGTATTACATTAAGAATTTGTGACTACAGTAGCATACATCTGAGTCCTGACAACTAATCAGAAAAGCCTTAAAATGGGCTTAAAGTTACTAAATATTGACAATAAACATATACTTATTCCCATAATTTATATCACGCTTACAGGGGCATTTACATCCAAGACTCACTGCACAATACTAGCACCAAGAGAAGTTTTTCACTTTTCAATCTATTCTCAACTACTTGGACTCGATCCAGGGAGCAAAGATTTCATCGCAGAAATATCTCATTGGCATGGCACTCCTTACTACTAGACCTTATCTAACATTACAATGAAAATGTCACAAAAACTAACAAGAACATTACATTTAAAGCAAAGTGTAATCTTGCTTAGCAAACCAAGATGGCAGTAAAGAAAGGTCAAGACTTCCACATTCATTTCTTTCTTGACTATTTTCTCAGGAACCAAACAGTTAATTAGGGCAAGAAACGGAGAAAATTCGAGCAAAAAAACAGAAAAGGAGGAAGAGAACACACTCACGATGCGATCAGGAGTGCCAACGGCGCCATCGAGGACTCGAATTCTGGCGCGCGTCTCCTCGCACATCTTCTTGATGAGCTCGCCCTTCCGGCCGATGATGCTGCCAACCTTCAGCACCGGAACGATGAGCCTGAACACGCAATCGCCGGGCCACCCAAGCCATTTCTTGTCGGCGTCAGTCGTCGCGGTGGTACCTGCGTTACTCGCCGGAGCTTCGCCGGATTCCCCCGGAGGAGCTGGCTCCGATTCCATGTTCCTATTCCCGGTGGCGTGGCCTGGCTCCGTCACCGGCGCTTTTTCGTTCGCCGTAGAGGCGGCGGCGGTGGCGTCGGAAGGGATAGGCTGGGAATCGGATTTCGGCGCCTTTGTGACGCCGTTCGCGGTGGGTTCGTTGGTGGCCATGGCAGAGACTGTGACGAATGGAGAGTAGAGAAAGAAAGGAGTTAGGGTAAGTGAAGGTTTCAGAGAGAGAGAGAGAGAGAGGAGGGTTAATAACAGGGGAAAATTTTATATAAAGCTGTTACATTTCAGTTTTTTATTATAATAAAAATATTTTATATAAAATTATATCTTAATTTAAATTAAATAATTAAACGACTCTTTATATTCAATAATTTTAAATTAATATTCTCAGCTTTTAAAAAATCATTTTTTAATATTTTATTTTTGAGATATAAAATATTAAATATGCCCTTATACATAATCTCACCTTTGTTGATTAGAAATAATTACTTATTAAGAATACGCTTGGTTCATAGATTAAAATTATTTTTAATTTACGTATATTTTTTATGAAAAAAAATATTATAATAAATTATGAATTATAATTTAAATTATTGTTTAAATTTTCTAATTAAACATCCTCTAAATGATTTTTTTAAGAGGAAATCCCTGCCCTTGTTTCCAAACACTTTAAAAATCTGGTACTTTTTTCTCACTTTTAATATGTTTTAAACATGAAAATTCGTTTAGCCATTTCTCTCCCACTCAACTGGCCTTTCCAAAAGTTATCTGGTCTGCTCTGTCTTAGTTCGTGGATTACCATCATGAAAATGTATATACAACTTAACTCGGTAAGACAATAATCTGTAAAACATAGTATTTTTCTACCAATTCATAGGCAATAATGTTATTAAATTACTCACAATGACATAACTGAAATTATATAAACAAGCACTACCTTAAAAATATAAAATAAGCATTTAAACTGCAGCAAAACAAACTTTTGCCTCGTTCATTTTACCGATTCAAGTTTTCAGTTTTAAGTTTTTACAGTAAAAAACTCTCAGAAAATGTCACATCTATCTTTTTTTACTACAGTGAAAAGTTCTCAGAAAATGTCACATCTCAACTCAAATTAAAAACTCAAATCCGCGAAGTGAACGAGGCATTTAATTACAAAACGTAAACAAATCGGGTGATAAATAACAAATAGTGAATTAAAAAAAAAAGATACCATAAAAACATATTAACGTATTCATATGCCATCATTATATATATCGTCATTTTGAATGCAGAATAACGATACATAGTATTGCTATAAAGAGAAAAAAAAAAAATACATCTTTTAACTATTTTTCAAGAGGATCCACTACTTTTTTTTTGGTTACTAAAAAAAGAGATTTAGTGATGAACTTCATGTCTCTTAACGTTTCGACGATAGCAAACAATCCTGAGGACCATCGAATATGTGAAAAGGATATGAACTAATCGATTCATGATCATCTAATCAGTTTTCACTCATTCATTTTGTGAAGCCTGCGGTGGTCCACTTAATTTCTCACAAGGAGTAGATAGTAACGCGCAAGTGTGAAGTATCAAACTCTAAAACAATGTGTAAAGAAGACTTAACAAAGACATCCTTACTACTACACTCCGACTCTCTCGGTAGTAGAAAGACCCACTACTTACCTATGATGTTTGTATTCTGCGTTGCTTCTGCCTTGCTTCAATGTCCACCCTTTTTTTTTTTTTTTTTTTCTTTCTCTTTTGGATTTTTTAGAAAAAAAAAAAAAAAAAAAAAAAAAAAAAAAAAGAAGGTGGACGTTGAAGCAACGCAGAATAGCAAAAGGTCTTCAAATCACTTTTGTTGTAATCCACGAACCAAAGCAGACCAGACCAGACAGCTTTTGGAAAGGTCAGTCGAGTAGGAGAGAGAGAGCTAAACAAATTCTCACGTTCAAAACAAATTAAATGAGAGAAAAAAAAAAGTATCAGATTTTTAAAGTGTTTTGAAAATAAGAATAGGAATTTCCTCTTAAAAAAATCGCTTAATAAGTAATTAATTCTGGTCAAGAGATGAGATTATGTATAAGGGCATATTTAACATTTTAGGCTCGTTTTTTTGAGTAAAAAACTCAAAAAAAAGTAACTCGAGTTACAACTTTATTCGAGTTGATGTTCTTTTAAGTTTAAATTTGAGTTTAAACTCGAGTTTGGGACTAAAACTCGAGTTCAAATTTTCCCTTCAACTCGAGTTCATAAACTCGAACTCAAGTTAATGAACAATATTTTTTCTATTCTTAAAAATGCTATAACTTTTTCATTTTAATTCTGATTGAGATGATTTTTTTTTCTATACGTTGGCAACGAAAAGATGAATAAAACTAGACCCATATACCCTATTAAAATTTTTCATCAGCATTGAGTTTGTATTAAAATACTATCTAAATATAAATTCAAGTTTTGACTTACTCAAACATAAACTCAAAAAGATTCTTATCTCAAATCATAACTCAAATGTACACAATCAAACGCAAACTCAAGTTACAACTTTAATTCAAGTTATAACTCAAACTCAACTCAAAAGTTTAACTCAAAAATACTTACAAAAGAACAAGCCAATATGTTCCAAAAAATGGCTCAAGATATTAAAAAATAATTTTTTTAAAAGTCAAATCATCAATTTAAAATTATTGAAAATACATGGCACTAAAAGATAATTACATTAAAATATATGGTACTAATATGAAATTTTCTCTGATAATAATTCACAAATAAGGTTTTGGGATGTCTTTTAGGACCTGCCATTTCAACCTCTATTGTCTATGTACTATCTCTCCAATTAAATTTTAATAACTCGTGATTTGTTTAAATAGTACTTTGTTTTTATTTATGTGGTCAGATTTCTAAGTTTAAATGATATGATAGATAATTAGTAGATAGATAGCCACTAAGACATGAAAATATATGTAATACCCGAGATTTAATTAAGCCTTAAGCCAATAATAAATAAATTTTGTAAATTAAAATCATGCACCACATTTACCATTTACCTCAAAGTTATTTGTGTTGGGAATGGTGTCCTAGAAGCATAATATGTAATAGGATATTTATTATTCATTTAATAAAAGAGTTTATTCATTATTTGATGTGCATATATTTATGAATATTTTATGAATATCAATAAAAATTCCATGATTATTTATGTAACCTTAAACATTGTATATAAGTGTTATATACGAGAGGATAATGTTTAAGGATAATAATCAAAAAGCAATGTTCATAATGAATTTAATTAAAGTTTAGAATCTTTAATTAAAACATTATTAATACATGTCATCCCCATTTAGAATGGAACGGTGTTATCCGCACTGTTAATATGGTGAGATATTGAATGAGTGTATTTCGCATAATGAGATTATATGGAACAATGACAAAGATACAATATGAATTTCTAATAATTTCGTTAAGTATAGAAATTCTAATTGAGTCTACCGATGGTCATATGTAGGATGGTCTTAATCCTGAGTTCTTAACAGACTCCTATTTATGGATTTGTGTCTTTTGATTTATTCGGTACGGATTCTGAGATCCTAAATCCTATTCCTTGTATTTTGGAGACATGATGAAGTAGATAGCCGGAAATGTTATTACACGAGATGGAATCCATTCCTTCTTAATAAAGAAGTAGATAAATAATTCTCTTGAG